GTAGAGTAACTACTGTACACACAAAAGAAGGTCTGGCGACTATTGTCCATGTTTCCCGACTCTGGTCTATATTTCCCGACTCCCGCCTCTCTTGTTTCCCGACTCTAGCCTCCTTGATTCCCGACTCTAGCCTTCCTGGTTCCCGACTCTCTCCCTGCTTATTCCGACTCATGGCGCCCGACTTTTCCAACACCCGCGTTTTGCTGAGGGGAAGTTCCTGGGTCAAGCCTGATCAGCTGTAGCATGAGCTCCCCATGCACGACTTCACGAACCATCTGAGGATATGCCATCCTGCAGGGAGGCCTCGCAGAGGGATTCATGCTCAAGCTTCATGGGTCAGGTTTCAAGGTTCATTGCTCAGGGGTTAGGGTTTGTGAAAACATTAACATGTGCGAGAGTTGTAGAATCCGTCCACAAGGGACCTTCTAGCTGAAGCATCCACCCTCAATGGAAAAAAAATTGGGGACGGTAGTTCTATGGTAGTGGAATGTATACTGCCCGAAGCCATAGTGATAAGAGTGGGCGGCCTCTGCCAGGGCCGAATGACGCTGATGTTCTCAGCTACATTCCCAAAGGAAATCCAGAAGCTGGCGCAGGCCTTCATGAGGCCTGGGCTCTTGGGTTGCAGGATTAGGTCTCATATAGGGTCCAGGGTGCAAGGGCTTGGGGGCAAAATTGAGAGCTTCTGATCTGGTGAGGAAAGGGATTTCTGTTTTGTGACCACCCAATGCTGGAAGCAAGAGGCTCACGCTTTCAGGTCAGTTCTTTTTCCTTACATCCCGTCCTAAGCACCGTCAAGAGCTGAAGCCAGCACCCCAAAGCCTGGCCCTGAAGCCTACGACCCCACCTGCCCAGTTCCTGGTCCCATTTCATGTCAGGAGTGTCCCATCTTTCCCCATTTTAGCAGGGCTTCCATGCGTGATCACTTGGGAGCCATCTGTGAGCTGTATATTTTCAGGAGCTACATTTGGATTGGCGTCGGCCGGGTCGGTGGCGCCGTGGACACGGCGGGAAGCCCTGCTCCAAATAGCATCTTTGTAAACTGGAAACCTTCCCATCGTACTTCCTGAATGGACCTTATGCCATTGTGATAATCTACTTGTTGTATGAAGCACAATACTTAGAAAAAGAAGCAACCCGGATTCTGACCGTGTGTTTTAGCTCCTGGTTTTGCAGCTGAACACAGGGCCCTAAACCAATACTTCCCTTGTACGAAGATGCTTTAGGATACCTGACATAGTCCGCAACATGATATTGATACTTATTCTTTCTTTTTTCGAACCCAGTATTATGCAGTCTCCAGGGGCTGCGGCCACCTGTCGTGTTGAGGGGATGGGCAAGCAGATGTTGAGAGACAAGTGTGTTCTTTACGGCCCTATACAACCTCATGTAACCTTGTCTTCCTTTACCCAGCAAGGTTTTTGAATGCAAGGTTTTTTAGACCGGACCTTTCATTGCTTCCTCGGGAATTTCAACTCGCCGGCCGGCCGAGTCTAAGCTTTTTCCGTGCCACTGCAGGTGGAACAGACTTTCATGGTCACCAGCAACCGAGGTGCATCTACCTTCGCATAGTTGGATCAACCATATATAGGCCAATATAAGCTTCATATTTTGGCGACGGTTTTGGGCTCGGAGGCATTGTTCTACCTTTCTTTTGCAGGAAGCCCAGCTTGGATAACGGATCCAGTGCCTGAGGCTCAAAGTTCAGGCTGCCTATTTTTTAGATCCGAAGGTCTAGGGCTTTCCAGTGTCAGGCCTCACGGGAAATCCCATGTCAGAAGCAACAGAACCGTACTGGCTCATTAGCACCTGTGGTCACGATTGTTCGCAGTCACTTTGGACATCTTTATACAGAGACAGCCATGCTTCTCCGGATTTTCTTGTGCCCAAGCGCTATTTCTGTGAGTCCTGGTAAGCATGCTTGAGTGATCGCGAGATACATTGTCCAGTAATCCGTGCTCCTAATTCCATGGATGGACAAAGCGGCCCTAGCCCCAAAAGTCCTAACAGTAAACCCTAACCCTAAACGCTGCATGATAGGCCCCAACACCCCAGCGCACACAAAATCCTCAAGCCCTCGTAGGCAAGCCAGAAGTTTTGACCCAGGTCTTGCCCTCAGTTGAAGCAAAAGGAAGGTTGCTTGATCTTTGTAAGGTTCGTGGAATGCCTTCGCCGCTGTCTCGTGAGATTGTGGTGCGGTTTTGAATGTTTGGAGGGATTCAGCTTGATGACAGGTTGAGGGTGAAGGGTCTTGCTTCCCCAGTTTGCATGGGTTTTTTGAAGTGCCTGATTCAGCCTCAGAAGAGCGAGATCTCAACAGTTCATCGTGTGCTGTATGGAAGGCTTGCCTCCAGGCAAGAGTCCGGAACTAGCTCATAAACGCCATCATCAACTCACAGTACGAGCCAGGTTGGGGATGAGGTTCAGGCCCCATGGTTAGGGTAAGGTGATCTGCGGCAATAGGGGCAGGAACAGTATGCCTAGTTGATAGATACGCTGCTCCCCGCCACGCGCGATCTGTTTTCACAGAAGTACAAGTGAAACTCGGAAGAATCACATTTGGTGTGTTCCTCCTGCTAGTATTTGTAAAGTGAAAGCGTCGTCACTGAGGGCTAAAGATTTTGGCCCTGAATGTGGCCCCTTGACCTTGGAGCTCTTCCCAACTTGCTTTTGCTTGTATCTCTTTAAGGGAGTATTGTAATCTCTGAAGCAGCCGCTCGAGCTTTGTGGCCTTCAAGCATATGAAGCCACTTGCAACTTCAGGTCTTGAACACAAACCCTACGGACTCCACCCTCATCTTTGTTGCCATGAAGCGCACGGCTGCTTGGTTGGAGGCATCGCAGATCAGTTTTCACTGCTTAGCCATCAAGGTTGGTGAAGGTTTGCAGATTGTTTGGTGTCGTGAAGATCTGCTCAAAAGCACTTCGCAGGGGTTCAGCATCTTGGGTTGATGGGCAAGGGGTGAGTGCACTATGTTGTGCCTTCAAATCAATTGCCATGAGCCCCAAGCCTCTGGAGTTGAGCTCTTGTGGCGTAAGTCTTCTCGACAGTTTGTGTTCCAAGGCCTGAGCTAAGCTGTGCTAAGCTATTCAGCCGTCTCCCCTGCGGGATACGATTCCTTACGGGTCATTTTCAAAGGTTAGTTGCAAGGCTCGAACACTATCCCCTCAGTGTCTGCAGGGGCACCTGACGCGATTGGGCTACAACGCAGCCGCAATCCATGGAGATATGGACTGCGATTTTTGCGTAGTAAGCATATCGGAGTTCGAGTTATATGATATATGAGAGTGGAAAGCTTTTGCTCAGGAGCAGCACACATTAGAAGAAGGCACCAGCAATGCGTTTCCTAGCTTCAGATTTTTTTTTGATTTAATTTTTCCTTTTCAGCCAGGGCTGTATGATAAAGATGCTAGGTGTGGCTGTGTGCTCTGTGCAGTGGTATTGGCCTTGCTGCCGCACATGGCTTTGTGCAAATAATCCACGTCCTCTACGGGTATCATCGAAATTATGATGTCGTATGCGCATGCCCACATATACTGAACTCCTGCTTGGCTTATGTGGATGTGGATTCTGGGAACAGTACATGGGCAAAAGAAGCTCGAAGCAGCAATACTAACAACACTAAGGACATGAACAGCGACAAGGTTCGGGGTTAAAGCGGTGATAACAAGACTAAGGTCAATGCGCGGCCTGAGATCTGATTTCACAAGCAAAGTGCGCTGGATTCATTTCATGGAAGGATGTGCTTTGCATTTTGCATGCAAACTTTGCGTCAGCACACAAGGTGTTCAAGGCACCCAATGACATGGCGTTAGCGAATCATGGCTAATAACTTGAGAATCTAATGGAAAATCGAATGGACAATGGAAACTGGGCTTAGAGGGACATGTGGGTCATAGGGTTTAGAGATTAGATCAGCCCTGCCATTCCGCCGTGTTTTGATTTGTATTATATCTTGGAAGCCCTGTTGGAACATGGGTTACTTTGCGTTCTGTAGCAAGGCTGGACACTCCACAGCGGCTGCCAGGCTTCAAGTATTTTTAGACCTATGACTCTGACTTTTCTGTGGCTTAGGGACTTGAAGCCCTGTGCCTGCCACGCGATCCCCCAACCTGAGAAGTAGAGCAAACACCTCGAGTTTCCTCCGCCCGAGGCCAGTTCAAGAGCTGAATCTTGTAGTTTCCATTTTCTTTTCCATTATCCCAATATAAACCCAATATAACCCCAATATAACCCATTATAGTAGTTTCCATTTTCTTTTCCATTATCCCATTATAGACCATCATAGTAGTTTGAGGCGCTCCCTCCCTCTTTCATTGAGCCCAGCCTGCGCATGTCAAAACAAGGTTGAATCACAAGGCTTAATAATTTCAGCCCTAGAGCCCTAAGAATCCTTTTGCTCCCGACATAAAGAGTTTCTAGGTGGCCATGCGGCGGTTTTTTCGCATGACCTTTGCGGAATCCTTGCTGGGGATTCGTGACCGTTATGTCACCACATATATCCCCCGTGAGGAGCAGCGGGAGCGTGAGCAGTCCCTTTCAACCTTCAAGAGGCCTTGATTGCAAAGCCTGCTTCAGGGTTCCAGAAAGATAGTTGATAAGAGGGAGCAGAACAGGTGAGGGGTTGAGATAGGCATTTGGGTGGCTTCGGGTCTGCAAATGCGTAAGGCGTGCCCTTTGCAGTGGACATACTTGCTTTTTTGACTGGAAGTCTTGTTGGCTATGAGCTGCAAAGGTTGAGCCAAAGCATCCTGTCTTTCCCTGACAACCCCTAAGCCCCAGAAGCCTCCACCCCCACTAAACCGCGCCGGATCTCCAAAATTCCCCAAAAACCTACAAGTCCTCTGACCCCAAACCCCATCAACCCCCCCAAACCCGTCCAATGGGTTCCCTTTTGCAGTGGGAAGAGCACCTTCCTGGTGGCCACGGACGTTGCGGCTCGAGGCCTCGACATCCCCAAGGCACCGTCGGGGGAGAGGTTCAGGGTTTTGGATTTAGGGTTGAGGGGTTTGGTGTTTAGGGTTCAGAGGCTTAGGTGTAGCGGTCTAGGGGTTTTGGGTTTGGGGTTTAGGGTCTAGGGTTTTGGGGCTTAGGGTGGGTCGGTTCTTAAGGGTTAAGAGGTGTTCATTTAGGCAAAAGGGATGTAAGGTTCAGGTTTTGGGGTGGAGGGTAAGGTTGTTTGGGTGAGTTTCCAAAAGCCAGGTGGTTGGATAACGGGAATACAGGTATAGAAGGACATATGGCGCGTAGGGTTGAATTACATAGATTTTACGGCACAGGATTTTCAACGATTGGGGTCGAGGGATCCCCTAATCTAGAGGGTATAAACGGGAACATTGTGAGTGATCACGGGCTATAGGTGTCTAAGCGATCTTGGGATACAAGGCTTTACAAAATCTTGGGGTCCCTGTTGGGAATCCGTGTAATGGGAGCTGCGTTACGGTGGGGGTTGTAGAGGCTTTCAAGCACAGCATGCTCGGGTTCAACAATTTTTGTGGATTCCAGGGCTGGGAAAGTTGAAGGCGTCTTGGGAGTGTACCATCGCGTACACTTCAGGTAGACTTGTTGGTCAGACATGTTGAAAGATGATTCCAGCAGATACTCTCGCACGCGCAGCCGCATTGGTATTTTCAGCGTGACCGCTGGCTGCTACTTTTCTTCCTGTATGGCTCGAAGCGCTGGGCCTATTGCTGTTACTTGCAGCAGGTCTCGCACGTCATCAACTACGATCTGCCTCAGAACATCGACTCCTATGTTCACCGGATCGGCCGGCCGCCCAGACACAGTGGGTACATCTGCTTGCTGCTTGTCTTTCATGCCATCTCATGCTATTGCCGTATGTGAGTAGGCTGACTAAAACGAAAATCTGAGATGTGGATGTCATCGACAAGAACACAGAGCATTTGCAAACATGGCAAGGAATCAGAGTAATGTGTAACATAATGGTCAGAACCACGCACACAATTCCAGTGAAACAAAGGATTTTCCTTCCTACTACATCCCTAATCCCTAATCTGCCTATAAACCCTTGTATATTCCTAGTCCTAGTTTCCATTCCATTCAATACTCCACTATTATACCCTAAGCCCCCTCGACTGGATCAGATTTCTCAAGGCCGGACTGGCCGAATTGGCAACCACGGCTGGGCGACCAGCTTCTATGCCACCGGCCCTGAGGAGTTTAAGGAAATGATTGGTCCTGCAGGCTTTGGGATTCTGTAAGAAGATGCTCTGGAGGCATTTTGAAGAAGAGCAAGAGTCACCCAACTGTCCCGCAAAATGCTATGTAATCCTTCTACTACCGCAGGGGGGCCTGGTACTGTAGTGAGTGTCTGTTTTGCAGGCAGTCAAAACATGACTGCTTTGTACGCAGGAGCTTTTGGTCCTCCATTTTGAGAGTAGCAGGCTTTCTCTGTTTAGATGCTGCTATGATTCTGCTGGGGCTGGGTGGCAATGGTGCAATGGCTACATTTCAGGGTGGAAGCAGATGCTCTTCGTTGCAATTCCTGCATAAAGTCTAGTTGCTGGAGGGCCAGTAGCACTAGAGTCACTTCAACACACGCACAAAAGCACGTGGTACCGTAAGTTTAAGTAAGATGCCTCAGCTGCAGCAAAGCGGGGGTCTGAACAAGTTGAGCATACTTTACGTGTGAACGTGAAGCTCCGTTTGTACAGATGGATCAAAATTGCTAGCAAGTCCACCACCGTACCCGGAGGTTCACAGACCGTACGCCCTCATGCAGGATATAATGCAGTCAGTGTCATAAGTCTAAATCAGCTCAGTCTGATGTTCTGCCAGTGCTTGTCGCAGAGAGCATTAATGGCTCACATCCTACTTCCAGCACTTTCTGCATCCTCCAGAACTTCAGTGGCAGCCCACCCGAATCTTGCGAAGCCCCGTTGCTAGTTATTCCCACCAGCCAACCCGCCAGCGAAGTGAGGTTCCAGCACATGACGGTCAGCATTCCAATGCCAACGTTGCCAAAGGCCGCTCATGTAAAGTCACACAGCTACACCCTGCAGTCGCTGACCCCCAAGGCCTACAGAAGGCTTCTTCGTCCTCGTGTAACCGCGGGTTTCGCCTTCATTCCTTGTAGAACAGTTGAAGGTGTATCACGTAATATGCCAGGCCATTCCAATCACTGTTGGGTCTGGGCCCTATATTCCTGGCAGAGACTCCAGCAAGGAACGAGACATATCAGAAACGCCGGGGTACAGAATGTTACAACAAGACATGATGCCGAAGCAGCTGATAGTGTTGCAAGACTGTTGCAGCATCGTAGCAACCACGAGGCTGCCATATTACAGTTGTTCTGGCTCTAAATTCACGGTTTCAAAGCCCTGAAGGGTTGTGCTACAGGACTCTGCTGTAGATTCCCCACCAAGTACAAGACTTGCGACTGAGCTTTGGATCCTCATCTGCGCTTGCGGCAGCTGAACGTCAAACTCGAGACACCTGTTTTGCTTCAAGGCATCGGCTCGAGGAGTTTGGGAAGCAAAAGGTCAAGTTGTGTGCTTCGTGTAAGCCATGTCGGAAGCCGCGGGTGTGATGCGAAGCCAGTCTGGCTTCATCTCGGAGGCCGGGAAAAAGGATTATGGGCCTCTCGAGTTTACCGGAAAACTCGCAGGGGGTCTCAGGCTGGACTTGCGAAGGCGGCTGCCACTCTACGCAAGCGACTGGACGGATGCCTTCAAGCCGGACAACTTTCAAAAATCCTTATCGTCCATCTTGTACTTGTTCATAGCAGCGCTTGCGCCCGCGATCACCTTTGGGAGCCGCTTCCTTGATGGCACGAACGGCCAATTTGGAGTGTTGGAGATGATTGTTAGTACGGCTCTTTCAGGCGTGCTCTTTTCGACCTTCTCGGGTCAACCCCTTTCGATTCTTGGAGCTACTGGCCCCTTCCTGGCCTACACGCTGGTGGTCTACGACCTTGCTGTTGGTGCGGACATAGAATTCATGCCATTTTACTTGTGGGTTTGCATGTGGTGCTCGCTCTTCACCATCCTGGTGGCAGTGTTTGACCTGTGCGCCCTCATGAAGCATGTGACCATGTTCTCCGAGGACGTATTGGGTGTAAGATTTATAGCTTGAGGGCTGAGTGTGTCAACACGCGTTGGAGCGGCTCAGGGCACTTCTGTGGCACCCTGCCGTTCAAGTGACAACATCTTGAACCTTCCAGGACATCTTCGCGGGGTTGATCTCTCTGATCTTCATCATCGATGGGGTGAGGCACACTGCCAAAACCACAATGGCACAAGACATATGTAATCTTGCCGGCAGTGAACCAGTCACTCCTGATGCTCATTTTGCAGTGTGGTAGGCCCATCATCGAGAACTTTGCGGAGAAAAAGATGTCGTTGAACAACGCCATGTTCGAGGCCCTTGCCTTTGCTTCTCCAATTTAGGTTTTGTAGTTGCATGCGCTTGCCCTTCCCCTCTGCTCAGGCCTTGCTCTTCATCTATACCTTCGGCCTGGCAACCTACCTGTCCCACTTCCGGCGCACACCATGGATGCTCCGGCCGATCCGCAACCTCATGGCCAACTTTGCGGTGACCATTGCCTTAGTTACGGCTTCGGCACTAGCGGCCCTCTACTCAAGCGATACAAACTTGAGGATGCTTAGCGTGGACGCGGACTTCTCCCCAAACCTGGTCTTGTCGGACGGAAGCAAGCGACCCTGGATCGTGAACCCCATGGGCATCGACCGCGACTTCCCAGCTTGGGGCATTGCATATGCAATTCTCCCAGCGACCTTCAGCACTGTTGAAGAATGCATCATTCAATTCTTGTTGGGTCAATGTGCTCATGTTTTCGGTTTTCAAGTACATAGGAGCAACTGCTACTGAGGATTGGATTCGCCGTGCTGGGCTACCTGGATCAGAACCTGACTTCCGTGATCGTGAACAGGCCCTCCAACGGCCTGGAGAAACCACCAGGCCACTTCGGCTTGCAGTTTCGCGTTTGGGACGGGAGAGGGTTGGACTTGGAGGTCTCAGGCATTGGCATTGCTGTGTTTCAGGGTCTCATTTTGAATTGTTCAGCAGGCTATCACTTTGGAGTCACTAGGGCACGGCACCCTGTGATTCGTCAAAAATTTTCTCAGCAGGCTATCACCTTGACCTCTTTGTGCGCGGCGCCCTCACTTTGCCCGCCTGCGCTGTGTTGGGCCTGCCACTGTCAGTGGCCTCCACGGTGCCCAGCATCACGCACGTGATCTCCCTGACCACCTACGAGGTGAAGCAGCTGCCCCAGGGTGAGCGCAAGGTTCCGACGAAGGTGGTGGAGCAACGCGCTACGAACTTCTTGATCCATGTGCCTGCGTTGTCCTTTGGGATCTTTTTTTAATTTCCACATTATTCTGTAGAGGCCAAAAATTGTAAATAATTTTCAAAGGTCTTAATCGGCTGTGCGCTCTTTCTCGCCCCGGTGCTGAAGTTCCTGCCGCGGGCCGTGCTGCAGGGCGTCTTCTTCTACATGGGTATCGCATCCCTCACCGGCAACAACCTCTTTGACCGCCTCTTCCTATGGCTCATCTGGGACGCCAGCAAGTACCCCCAGTACCACTACATCCAGAAGCTGCCCATCCGCCGGGTCCACCTCTACACCTTCGTGCAGGTCATTTGCCCTTTCACTTTTGGCCACCCCCCTGTCTGGGGCTTATGTTTTAGGGTTTAGGCCCGGCCCCGTTCCCTTTTTGCCGCACCGTTTTCTCCCTATAGGAGTATTGTTCTAGGCGCTTCGGCTCAGTGCACGTGCAAGCTTTTTTGAGATTTTTAGTTACCTCCTCTTGACCACAACGCCATGGCG